AATTCTGGTAGTTTTGATATCCTGGATTATTATTCGAATTATATGAAAAAATTGTAAAATTCGACAGTAAACTTCTAATTAGAGTTATATCTAAATGATTACAGCTTATTTTGAAAATCTGACTACGTCCCTGGATTCTACGAGATAAAATGTATAATAGACAGTTTTCACATTTTCTATGAGTTGAAAGATATAGCTGAGATACAGAAGGGTCCTTGAATGCTACATTTTCAATTTCGCTCTGTCTCAAAAACGAAGCAGGCTATGAGAAATTAGTGAGATATCCCGTAAGGACATCGAAAATGGGACAGCCTGTATATGATAGTAGTTCATGAAACCAGTTGAGAATGCGTAATTTTGCGTGAACATGAGATTTTGCGGTACGACTGTCCACAACTTCACACGGTTGCACAAAAGTGCGATTTCAACGATTCACTTCTTTCTTTTATTTCGATTATATATAAGTTTTTCAGAACAATGACATTTTAAGATCAGTAAATTTCTGATCAAACATTGTCGACGACCATCAAGTATCTATGACTTAGCGAAATCCTCGGCGGAAACAAATACCTATCGAAACAAACGCATGATAGGTATCCTTATATTTTGTATTCCAGGATGGTTATTAATTGATCGACCCCTTTTTGGTTACTACCTTTCCTGTAAAATAATAATAATCATTCACTGAGGCCCCCCTTTGAGGGGCTGTATCTTTCTTGGGGGTCACTTCAGAAAAAAATGTTACGGAGGTTTTCGTAACTATTTCACCCACTCTATATGCTCCCAAAGTTTGACCACCTATTTTAGAAACACCTTGTATATGTCTTTCAATATCAGATATTTCATAAATTAATTTTTGCGATGAAAAAATTTAATCACTCCGTATAAAATCGTAACCGTATTTAAATAAGTTATAAGTATTATGAGACATTCTATCATTTCATTATGTTTCAATCAAGTACAGGGTCATCCTGTATGATTGAATACATTATTATTATTCTGAATGTTAAGCATAAGCAATATCAAATGTTCAATTATTCGATTCAAGTTGAAACCAACCAAATCTATGGAATTGTTGTCAAAATCTCCGTGAGCTGCAACCGGCTCTGTGTTTTGCATGTTAATTTGCACCGTTTTATCAGAAAGAGATGGAACAATGGATGAAACATTTGGTTAGCGGAAATTGATACATAAAAGAGTGTTCATAAGAATAAATTTTGAGACCTAACCAAACATCGGATTTTGATTTCGTTTTCACCAACAGATTTGGAACATATTTAGGTATGTCTGCGTGGTGAGCTAAATCTTGTCAATTCAATTTTGAATTAGTTATTCGATTTGGAAATGACTGATTTTTTAGCGCTTTTTGATAATTTTTTTTACATCGATGAAAGCATTTTTTGATCAAAAACAATCCATGAAAACATAGTCGACGACCATATCTATGACACAGCGAAAACAGAAATCGAAACAAACGCAAGATGTCCTCATATTTTGTATTCTAGAAATGCCATAAAATGACCCATTTTGGCTACTATCCGTTCCTCTTCATGAATAATGATATAAGAAAATTTTCACTGGGGAACAAAGAACAACACTTGATAAAATTATTAAAAATGTTTCCATATAAAACTTTTTGAATCGCCTTGATGATGGATCCTCTTTAATACGCCAATGGATTACTTGGATGCTCACCTTGGATAAGTAAAAAAAACAATGATAATGAGACTGAAATTCTGATTTTCCAATTTTGCACACCTCTGAATTTGTCAACATCATGCTAATTGAATGTATGGCAACTTTTTACCTGTGACGATCAACGAAACTGTTGATTTTTTTCAATAAGAACGTTATTGTCATTTCTAAATATCATGAACCCTTTTTTTGCGCGCCTCTGAATTTGTCAACAACATGCTAATTAAGGATTATGACACCTCTTCAACTGTAACGATCAATAAAACTGTTGAATTTTTTCAATACAAACGAATTTTTCGTTTCTAAATATCATTAACCCCTTTTTGCGCGCCACTGGTGTTAATTATCTGCAGTAGAAATATCCCTTGCTCCAGTTTAGATGTTGGCTGTTATTGGTTAACTAAAAGAGGCCATTTCTCGAATTAAAAATGAAATTTCATAAAATGTCGATTTTTCCATAGCAATGCAATTAATCCAAAAAATTTCAAAGACGTCTTGAGGTATCGGACCAACCATTCACCCAACATCTGAAAAAGAATTCTAGGGTCCCCCACATTTCCCAAATTATTGGTCAAACATTTGAAATTTTTCCGGCTCTTAATCCACACTCTGTACAAAGAGAACGAATCGCACAAATGAAAACCCGACGCCAATGATGCATAGCCCAAGGATGATGCATAGCCCAAGGATGACGCTTTCTACCATTGGTTGAGAATCCAATATCGGCCAAGAAACTTTCGAGTTATAGCTTATCAAAATTAGACAATTTTTTGGCTGTCCCACTTCATCTGTAGTTTAGGAAGGAGTATTGAGAAAGGATGGCATTTGGCAAAATCAAAGTTACAAAGATCAGCACCTCTAGTCACTTGAGCAAAAAAAAAGCACTAACACCATCCAATAAAATATAAATTAAGTCTCCTGTATACTCCTAATAGATTATTTGCAACAACCAGCAGGACACTCTGTATGTGATAAAAATATGAAAATATCTACCTATCAGTTTGATAGATTGTACAGAGATAGGTAATGGATTTTTGTGAGGTAATCTTCTTTTTTTCTAAAAAATGATGAGACATATTTAACGTATTATGGTGATATTGTTATTAGAATAAAATAGATACATACAGAGTAGTTCTGCTACCTTCATATAAACCCAGCAGAACCATGGAAGTCTTTTGAAAAATGATGAATGACAATTTTTTTATTGTGGTAATAAATTAGCACTAAATAAGCCACAAATTATAGCATAGTTGAGAATTCAAAATTCTGAAATGTTTCTGCTAAGTTTATGGGGTTGATTAAATGCACCCTTTTATTGAATGAAGTTCCTAAACAGGATTTTATTTTCTGAGCTCTCACTTGTAATTTGCATCTTCTCTATAAGAGGATGGTAGAGGAGTAAATTGATGCTGAATAATCCAACAACCACCTGATTGTCCAGAAAAAAAAAACAGTCAAAATTTCATTTTCTGAGCTTTTTAAGATGATCCAATATTTTTGATATGGCAGTGAAAAAAGAGATGAAGATGTTAAAAAATCAGACAAATTCCTGAATATCTGCATAATATGTAGAATCACAAATGTGGTACTATGTACTTATTAGTCACCTCATGAATATGGAGAGCTTGGATGACTACATGTATAGTCTCAGGTATGGGTATGTTCATTTGGGACCAAGTACCAGTGATGAGCTCTGGTAGAGCAAAACAGCTGTCCAGGATCTCTGACTAATAAAAATATTCACATTGTATGGAATCCTTCATTTTCATGCTGAAAATGGAAGCAGATTCATTCTGTTCCATGTAAGGAAAGCAAACATTCAATATATTCTCTTCATCAAACATATTTATAAGAAATTCCTCTTTCATGTTTCTCTGACTGTCCTTACAACAAATATTATATAATTAAAAAACACTATAGAAATGAAAGATTGAGACAGTATGAATGCTCTGTGATTAGATCACAGAATCAGCTACTTCAACATTAAAAGCCCTCTGCATGATCTTGGCATGACATTCTGAAATAGTTTGTTTGAGAGTTTGTTTTCATAGAATACACCTACAAAACAATGACCCACAACACTTTTCTATCCCCACTTAGAAGCAATAGCAATAGAAATCCATACATTGGTATGTTCAAGTATGGGTATCTTATTTTGTAATATATTCTTCAATCTCCAGAATAAAGACCTAATACATATATTTAATTACCACTTGAGCAAATTCTTGAGCTGTACAGTAAAAATAATCCTCTGTCTCTTGCAAGGTCTCTTGTTCTCTTGAAAGAGATCTATATGCAAAATCAGGGTATTTTTCAACAACTTACATACAATACTTCAGAAATAATTGAGAGCAAAAGCAAACCACTGTGTGACACAACCTATGGAAATAGACAAGAGGCACAATTCATAAATTTTTAAATTTTGAATTCAGATGCAGGTGTTGACACAATTCACTAACATAAAAATATGATCCAAGTAACATAACTTTCATTCACCATTATTATCATCACCATTTTCAAAGCATAATATTCAGGGTAAAAGTGCACTTATCATGCGATGGGGTTTTTTTCGAAAATTTTTTTTGGTACTTACGTATTTTCGTCTGAAAAACACGAATTTCATAATGAAAATGTGAACAAACCACTATTTATCGAGATATTTCAAGAAAAAGTTCGAAATTTTGCCTTCTTTTCCCCCTTGTGTTGGATGCATTTACAGGTACTTGCTCTTATTATTTTGTCATTGGACACTTTATATACTCATGATGTACTTCACTGACACATTTTAAGATAGAAAATTCAACAGGAAATATGATTTTTATGGCGAGTTTTTCCTATTTAGTGAGCAAGCATACCAGATGACGGCCATTTAATTCATATGCAATCCAAATACGAGATGTCAAATGTCAATAGATTGCTTTGGAATGACATTACACACGCCATTATTTCAAATGATATTCTTCCTTCTTTTCACTAAACATGGATAAATCACAAAAAAAATCATATTTCTAGTTGACTCATATAATAAAAAAAATATGTCCAACATTGTGTGATATATATAAATTGTCCAATGATGGAAAAAGAAGGGCAAATTGTTCTAAATGTGATCCAGAAGACAGGCGGAAAAGATGGTGAAATTTGTAACTTTATAGTGGAATATCTTAATAAATAATGGTTTGTTCACATTTTCATTATGAAATTCGTGTTTTCAGACAAAAATACATAAGTACCAAAAAAAATTTTCGAAAAAAACCCCATTGCATGATAAGTGCACTTTTACCATATTCAGTTAATGAATAACTCACTTGCTTGGGTCATAATCCTGAGTAGACTGGGACATCATTGCTCGAATTTTATCATCTTCTGGTGCATCTAAGCTAGAGAGATCTACTGCTTTAGCAATGGGTCCTCCTTCATCCAATTTCACTGGTAGTGTATTATCACCTCCATATCCTTCCCACTGTTTTGGTTTCTGAGGGATAACAGGTATTCTAGCAATTAGGAGTGATGTATTTTTGGGAATCAATGCATTCTCATCTTCATAGACTGAAAATAATGGCAATTAGTTGAAATATTCAACTTGTGAGTATATCAATTGAAACTCACCTTCTTTGGTTTGAGCATTGGTTACTTGTAAATCGAAATCGGTACTTTTGCCTATTCGTTTTTGTTGAATAATGGAGTTCTTCAAATCTTTAACTGATATATGAAGACCATCAAAGGTTACTGTATCATACTCTAGTGCTGATTTGAATTTATAGTGAACAGACATATTTACGGAAAAGAAAAAAAATGTAAGGATTTTGGTGACGGAATAATCAGTGGCTTCTACCTCAAGTCAAGAGTATCGACTTTCGGATGAAAATTAAGTAGGGTATCAAGTATACACACATATCTACCTACCGGAAATATATTTTATAGACCTATTTCAGATCTACTTATATCCTAAATCTCCACTGTGTCACAGTAGAGAGCTTACACTGTGTCTAGAATGTTTCGCAACATTTTCACATTTTCACTTTCAAAATTGTATGATACGTAATAAAAATCTACCCGATACGCGATTAATGATTAATCACATTCACAATGGCGAAGGGGATATTTTAAAAATCGTTAATAAAAAAAATCTCTTTTTTCAATGGCGACTAGACGACATAGACAAAGACAATGACTTAGCGACACAGCGACAGTGACTTGTGACAGTTGCATCCAGCGTTGCCAGTATCACAATAACAAGTGGATCGCGGCAGGAGGCTGATGGCTGCCGCCGCTGGCGCTGGCACTGATAGCAGTCGCTGAGATGTTTAGCGTTCGCTGTCGGTAAACGTGTACTTGCAGACAACGTCTCACGGTTTGACGTTGTTAGCGCTAGAGACTTCCCACCTTTGGTTATTTGCTATATTCCGAATTCAACTGGTCAGTACTCTCAGTAAATCTACTGGCTCTGTTGAAAATCTCTGTTCCGAAATATAAAATCAAAAATGCAGTGCTGTGATGCGGAACACGTTTTCATGATTTCCATCAGTGATCAGCAGCAGTTGAGCAGCTGGTGAAATTTGAATATCATTCTCAGCGCCAATTATTTTAGTAACAGGCATTTTCCGAAAATAAATACGATACTATTAGTTTATTATTGATGAGACAAGACTCAAAGTTTGAAAAACAACAGAAATAAATGTTACATTCCTTTCCCCTCCAAAATAATGACAGTTCCTTTTGATAGTCAGAAATTTCAGCAGAATGTTGAGTTGGAATATTCGGAATGAATAGAGTATAATATCTGCTCACAGGTATATGTCACTTCCAGTAATTTTTTTTTATTTCGGAACGAAAAATTAGCAGATTCAGTACTGTCAGTTGAATTCGGAATAGAGCCTATAACAGGAAAAGGAAAACTGCGAGTGCAAATTTGACAGGAAATGACGTCAAGAAATTTTTTTTCCCCATATTCTGTAAGAACATGTCCATTTCTACGAAGGTTCGCGCATTGAAAACAATTTGCGAAGTGACATTTTTTTTTCAGTTTCCTACAACGTTACCACGAAACGATGTGCGAAGTAGTGCGCCAAGTAAAATTATGCGCAAAGTACAATCTGCGCGTATTGTATGTGAACTATATGAGATTTCTGTACTTAAACTTTATGGTCCTCATGCAATCGAGCAAACATTCAAGAAATCATTACTCTGAATGTTTAACAGTAAATAAGGCTTTTTAAGCCAGTTCAACACTATTTTTTATATTAAGATGAGCATATTAATAGTTAAGAATCAACTACGTTTTTTGACGTGTGTAATCAGTTCCTGATCACCAAAGTAGCGTTTCGCGCATTAGATACAAAAATATCTATTAAATTTTGAACAACTTTCAACTAGAATGTGATTTTCAATGTTTATTTGGTTAGAACCCAGACAGCACCAGATATTCCATGAATATTCATAGAATATTCTTTTTGGATATTGCGAATATTCATGAACATGCCTGGGATATACATATCATCTATGGAATATTCCCTGAATGTGCTGGTGGGAAAAATTTTATATATTCCCGGAATATTACACAAGGAATATTCCCTATATATCCAGAATGTACCCTTAATATTCTAGGAATATTCAGATATACATATTCATAATTAAAAAATGCTGACCCAAGATGGGCTCGAACTCGGGACTATCCAACTGATCAACGCTTTCAAATTCATTTATTTCCTCATTTCAATAAAACATCGATAATTTCAAACAGAACAAACAACTATAAAATGTATTCATATACTATCCTCCGCGCAGTGCGGAGTTGGCTGGTGTTAGCCAGGGGGAATGTTCGTTCTGTGATTAGAGTCCTGACACATGATCCCATCCCCTGAAGCAATGCTCCTTTTAATGGGAAATCTCCGAGGTGGACCCAGTAGGGTCAAGGGTGAATACAAACATTGGCGTGCTGAAAATTATCGTTTATACGAGGGAAAATAAAGTAATAACCCTCTCCAGATGATCTGTCGCTTTGGACACGGCGCTCACCGCCCACATCTACAAGCCACGCCCAGAATCGACCGATAGGCCAATCAGCCGTCTAGGGCAGCCTGCAGATGTGAGCCGAGAGTCGCCTGCACCTCAGCGTGAACACTGCCCCACTGAGGCGCTGCTGCTCTTGACAATTTCCAAGGACATCATTCACGCGACATCCCTGGAAATTTTCAACATTTTCATGCTGAGGATCCTACAGATCGCCCAGGAGTTCCCTAAAAACATCGGTCGACTCATACATTAATCCATGTTTTATTTAGATTCCATGTTCAGCACGAGTGGAAGTGATGTTCCTAGTGAGGTCACTTCCCTGAACATGGGATCTATGAAACTTACTCGAGATTTTCAATATATAATCTTTTATCATTGGTATGCCATGACACCATTCGTGAAGATCTACCACTCGGGAGTATCGATTACCATTGGTAATGATACGGAGAACTTTGTTTTGCAGCAGCTGTAATAATCAACCTATTTGGGTATTCGAGGCGCTACAAAATACCGGACAGGCGTATGTCATTACTGGCCTGATAATCTGTTTATAGATCAAGTGCTTATTTGCTTATTATCCAATGTTAGTAGGGAATGTCCCACCAACAAAAGATACAAGCTCCTAATCACAGCCTGAGTCTTTTGTATTAAATATAACTGATATTGTTCCTGAATGACAAACGTCTGTCCAGCTTTACTCCCAGGTATTTCACAACGGGAGAGTCCGTAACCTCCGCATCTTTCACAGTCAAAGGTCGCCGTGAAACGTTGTTAGTGTATTTCTTGCTGAAATTCATGACTTATGTCTTTGTATTGTTCACGGCGATCTTTGACTCCTCAAAATACGACATGACTCCCCTGTCCAGATGAATCTGGATCTGAGTCCTGACGATGTCCGAGTCGAATGAGTGAGCATATATAATGCTGTATCATCAGCATACAACGCTGCACTCGTCCTCTCGAACACAGGATAATCATGCGTGTATATTGAGTATAGCAGTGGAGACAGAAACGACCCCTGTCGAACACCCGCCTCGAGTGGGAAAATCCCCTGAAACAGCGTCATTCACCTTTACTCTAATCTTTCGGTTTTCAAGATACGAGTCAACAATCTTGATGATATATATAGGCACTCTATCCTTAGACATCTTGGACATTAAACCCTCGTGCCAGACGGTGTCGAAAGCCTTTTCGACATCCATCATGACCATAACAGTATTTTTGTCCTGATCAAAGGCCTCTTTTACCCCGTGAACAATTCGGGCCACTTGGGACGTGGTGTTATGTCCCTTGCGAAAACCGAATTGTTCATCAGGGATCAGGTTCAAGTCTTCGACCTGGGCCTCAATCAATCTGAGTAGAATCTTATCCACTACCTTGGCCACTACACCGAGCAGTGATATAGGGCGGAAGCTCCCTGGTCGTTTCGAGTTTTCACCCGATTTGAGAATTGGTACAACAAGCCCAGTCTTTAGACACCCTGGATAGTGCTGGTACTTGATTATAGCATTGATGATATAATGGAGTTGGACCCTTGCCTTGCGAGACAGGTTCTTCAAGGGAACGACATCTATCCCGTCGAGCCCTGGAGCCTTACTTATATTCAGGTTTATTATTACATTTTGTAGCTCAGTGGGGTTGCAAATGGCTCGACCCAGGACTCGACGGGTTTTTGTCAGAACGTATTATAACAGAACCGTATTTCACCAGAACATATTCTGTCGTAATGGTATTTCGAAGGAATAATATCTCAAAGGATCAGTATCTCAGATAGCACAAGTACATCTTATGGATATACTATGGATATCCATCATGGATATTGTGGATGTCCATAAGATATCCGAAAAGGCTCTGGTATATCCTATGGACGTCCATAGGATGTGACAGTGTGACCTTTTTGGATGTCTTAAAGATATTCATTATGGACATCCATAAGATATCAACTATATGGATATGAATGAGATAGTTTACCCTTTATGTAGAAAGAATCACTAAAATTGGGAAGCACTCACGTCTCACTGCGTTCGAATAATGTAGTTGTCAGTTCTTATGCACCATCAATTTTGGACGAATTCGTAGGAATCACTTCCAAATTCACTTCAAATTAATTACAAATATGAGAACATATTATTGACATCATTTGATTACTCCAAGGTTGGTAGAATCGATGATCTATAAATCGCGCTGTTCGCGTTGAAAACCGAATTAATTATAATAGCAGATAGTGCATCACAATGTGTGCTATCTTTTGGAAGATCCACGCACAAGTGTTACTTTTGTGGATCTCCTTCTATTTATTCATCATTTCATTCATTGTATATACTTGATTTGAAATTTCTAGGTATTGATCTTTTGTCTCTGTATCTTTTATGGATATCCTATGGACGTATTCAGGACGTTTGTTTCGGATATCTCAAGTACATCCGCAATCGGATATCTTATGGATGTACATTTTATGTCCACGGATATCCCGCCTTGAATAGGACTTGAAATGGATATCCATAAGATATCCTGTGCTAACTGGGATAGTTCATCGCGAAATAAACCAGCATGATGTAACTCATCATGTAGTAAAATGAAGAAATGTATTCCGTAGGAACGTAAAACATCATACCGTAAATCTTAGAAATGGTAATTTATCAAAACCGTATTTCATAGCGACTGTAAAACATCAGAATTGTATTTTGTCGATACGATGTCGCATAGAAACTGTATTTCATAGAAAATGTAACCGTGCACAATTGTATTCCATAGAAACGGTCATCCATCAGAACCGTATTTCATAGCGGCACTAATAATTCATGACCGTATTCTGTCGCGACATTAGTCTATCAAAATCGTTTTTCATAGAATTGGTAGTTCGACAGAATTGTGTTTCATCGCAACTGTATTCTATCAGAACCGTATTTCATAGTGACAGTATTTCATAGGAACCGTATTTCAAAGCGACAGCAATTCATAGGAAACGGAATCCATAGCGACAGCAATCCATCGGAACCGTCATTCATAGCCGCAGTAATTCATAGGAACCGTATTTCATAGCGACAGTAATTCATAGGAACCGAAATTTATAGCGACAGCACTTCATAGTAATCGTATTCCATAGCGGCATTAATTCATAGGAACCGTATTTCATAGCGACAGCAATTCCTAGGAACCGTAATTCATA